TTTTCTCAAAAACTAAAAGTTATTTTTCAAAATGGGTTGGTTCATTGGAAAGAAGACACTTTTATTAACACTTTGAGACATTTTCGTACTCATATTCCAAGAACTGGATTTTATACGAATTTTTAAAACTTAATCGGTGAAAATTGCGAAATTTGAAAAAATTTTCGATAATTTCAAAAATTTATTTCTCAAGAACTGAAAGTGATTTTTCAAAACGGGTTTTTGCATTAAAAAGAGGATACTTTAATTAATAATTGGTGATATTTCCACAAGGATCCTTCAAGAAATTAATTTTACACCGAATTTTGAAAGTTATCGAGGAAAATTGCAACATCGAAAATTTTATCAAAACTTCAAATATTGTTTTCTCAAAAACTAAAAGTTATTTTTCAAAACGGGTTGGTTCATCGGAAAGAGGACACTTTTATTAACACTTTGGGAAATTTTCATACTCATATTCCAAGATCTGGATTTTATACGAATTTTTAAAACTTAATGGGCACCTAAACGAGATACTAATTCCTGTGAATGGTGGAGTACTAAGTACTAGGTTTTTAATATCCTACACCACTAATATTCAGCCAAATATCAAAACCAAACGTCGATACATTTTAGTCTTTAAATTAAGACATAAATCCTTTAGGAGTGTTATGAGCAACGATTTATGTCTCAATTTAAAGATAAAATTGTGTATTCTAGGATATAATAAATTATTCGATAAAAAAAGTATTGCGAGACTGTCAAAGTCTTAATTAAAATCCGTTTTTGATCAGTTCTTTGTTTGTAAATAAAACAACTTTTTGAAATAGTCTTCCGAACGTCTGTCACACTGTGTAAACGAACCGGAGGAGATCGAGAAATGTTTCAAAACCGCATTCCGTGCATCGACAACTTTTCCTCCGTTTTCCTAGTTTTTTATTTCATGTCAAACCACTTAACACACACGTTTCGATTCGTGCCAGGATGTACTTACAGAATATGTATCCTTATTAGACGTTTAAATCCGTGATATCTTTTTAACTTCTTCCTTATAACCTCTCGCTTTTCTAATCTAAAACATAATTATTTTTTGCACTTAATTATAAAAAAACCTCATTTAATAAGAAATCTTATTATTACTAATGTGGTGTATATAAATTATTTTAATATCAATGGCAATGAAACAACTCTATAACTAACGATTGCAAAATGAAATGTATGTATCTAATTGAATTAGGAATATTAATAAGTGAAACGATTAAATGTGTTTGATTATAATTAAAGGTAGTTATCGTAATATAAGATATTAATTGGGCCGCGTTATATATCACTTGACTATGCGACATTTTATCGTTTTTAGAGATTTTCATGCTGTCTTGTAGGTAAAGGTGTAACTTATCTTAGAAAAAATGCAGAATACCGAAAGAACTAAAATACTATTTGTTTTAAAGGATAAAGCTAAGCGCTAATCACGTTATACGATGATATATCATACGTCTAAGAACCGACTTAGATATGACACTTATTGTTAGATACACCAAAAAATTCTACAATAGAAAAAATAAATGAACCTACAATTTCGGGCCAGTGTCGTTTTCTAGATGTTAGTATAAAATTAAAAGTTTATGTTTTTTATTTGATATAGAATTTATATAAAGTTTAAATATATCGAATTAATGATAAATATTTGAAGTATAAAAGTAAAAATTAGAAGTTAAATCAAAAATAGAAATGTAGCCTTAGATTAAACATTTGTAATGAAATTATTTGAAATTAGAAGCAGGATACACACAATAATGGAGAACTATTTTATGTAAAAGAGAAGTAACCACGAGGAAAATAAGGAAAAATGAAAAATCAAAAAATATTTGAAAAATACTTATAGTCAATGAAGCTATTTATAAAGGTGTAGACTGGAAATCAAGTAAAAGTAAAGCATTTTGCTATTTGATGGATAAACAAATTGAGGAAGAAAATTGAATTAAGAATGGCGTCGTTAAAAAGTGTGGAATCTGAAGATTAAATTTAAATTTTTGTTAGTTCTAGTTTTACTAAATTCTACCGGTTTCGGTTTATTTATTTACCATCTTCATGAATATAAGTCCGAATGTTTCTAGTTCTCGGTCTAGTGTTAGTTCTAGTGGTAGTAGTAGGTAGGGCTAGTTAGCATTAGATATTATTATGTTGTATATTTTTATATGACATATTTGTCAACTTCATAAAAAATCCTTTAAAATGAGTCCAAACTCGATACATTTAACTTTAATATTAATGGAAATACAATCACTTCCGGTTTGAAACGTCAACGTCAATTTTGACATATTTGTCATATTCATTAAAAAACCTTTAAAATGAGTCCAAAGATGACGCACTTATCTCAAAAAACAAAAAAGTTAGAATAAAAAACATTAAACCCGAAGTTAGCAACAATGAAGATAGCAATTTAATTTTTAAATATTAATACCAACCTTAATTTTTTATTTTTTTTTATTATATTTTTGTTTTTGTGACAAATATTAAGACATTTTATAAAAATTAAGAATATGTCAAAATGACATTGACATTTCAAACCGGAAGTTGCTTATATCTCGAGTAATATTGGAATTAAACGTATCATGTTTGGACTCATTTTAAAGGATTTTTCACGACGATTACAAATATGTCAAAATTGACGTTGACATTCTTAACCGGAAGTTGACCATAACTTCATTAATATTGAAGATAAATATGTCGTGTTTGTACTCATTTTAAAGGATTTTTAATGAAGATTACAAATATGTCAAAATTGAGGTTGACATTTTAAATCTGAAGTTAGTTATCATATAGAAGTAATAGATAAATGGACAAATTCATGGTGTTCTTTCATTATGTATTCTTTATTAAAAAAAACCTTTAAAATGAGTCCAAACAAGACGCACTAATCTCAAAAAACAAAAAAGTTAGAATAAAAAACATTAAATCCTAAAGCGTAGTTTACACGAGCAAGTAAAACTATCGCAAACTTGTGTCTGATGATTCCAAGAAAAATTGTACGTGTAAACACTCTCTGAGACTTCTCACTGAGCAAATCGCTAAAGTGGCGGGAAGTAATCGCGACATAAATCGCTTGCGTGTGTAAACAAGTTGGGAGAGTTGTCTAGGAAGTTAGAATTTATTTCCGTCTGATTAGAAGTTTTCGTGCAAATGAATAGTGGAAATGAGTAGAGGATTTTTAAAATGGAGCGCCACCGCGTATGGCCAAAAGAGGAAACTTTGACTTTAATAGGTGTTTTTGAAGAGTTTCCCGAATTATGGCAAACAAAATCAAAAATATACAGGGATACAGATAGGAAACAAAAGGCAATACAATTTATAGCGGATAAATTTGATACAAGCGAGGCTGAAATTAAGCGAAAGCTGCATAATTTGCGCATTCAAATTAACCAGGAATGGAACAAAATTAAGAAAAGAAAAAGTGATCAAGGAAGCGATGAAATTTACTCCATTTATGCTATGTTATCCGAAAATAGTTGAAATAAAAAGTTAAAGTCGGTTTCTGACATACCTACGTACAAAGTTTTTGAATCTTGCTCGGTCTTCACTTCTTAATTCATTTAAGAGCGTTGCATCAGCACCAAGAGCAGACCTTCTGTTTATCCATTCGTTGTCCCATATTCTTTTTCTCGTCTTTTCTCTCCGACGTTTTCATGAAATAGCAATAAAAACAGCAGCGGCCGCAGCTCTTTTTCTGAGGCGAGACATTTTTAACACTAAAATATATTATATTGTACACATACGCGCATTAAACGTGTCATGTTTGGACTCATTTTAAAGGATTTTTCACGACTATTACAAATATGTCAAAATTGACGTTGACATTCTTAACCGGAAGTTGACCATAACCTCATTACAATATTAATGAGGTAAATTGCCGTGTTTGTACGCATTTTAAAGGATTTTGAACAATTTTGAATGAAGATTACAAATATGTCAAAATTGACGTTGACATTCTTAACCGGAAGTTGACCATAACCTCATTACAATATTAATGAGGTAAATTGCCGTGTTTGTACGCATTTTAAAGGATTTTGAACAATTTTGAATGAAGATTACTAATATGTCAAAATTGAGGTTGACATTTTAACCCTGAAGTTAGTTATGATATAATAGAAGTTTTATAACTGAAGTTAATCTAGTGTTAATCACTTTTCTGCACTTTATTTTTTTTTTTTTGGTTCATTTCACATTGATTTAAAAAAATCGTCGATTTTTAAGCCATATGATGATTCTTGAATTTTTCCCAAGTTTCTTATTTATGCTACGTCTTACAGAAACACCTGTATAGTCGTAAAACGTAATGATTCTGAGAAGTCTTATATTTTTAGAAAGATGAAAACGAAAATCCCGCTTTTCTCAATATTGTTCATTTGTCGCTTAGTAAAGTGAAAAATTAAAACATTTTCTTTTTATCTAAATTCAAAATAATTTTAAATTTTTTTAACATAACCTCACTTTTTTTAATTAAAACGTTTTAAAACATCCTTGTATCCTTCTCGTACATTTTTTTCGACTCAAAACGCAACGTTACTTTCACTTTTTGAGCGGCGCTCGACTCTTTTCCGTTTTAAAAAACACCTAATCGTTATTGAAACAGTAATCATTTAAGATTTCCTCGGTTTTAGCCCATTATGGAGTGCATTTATGACTCGGTTTCAAAACGTTAACACAAATTCTACCACGTCAAGTTCAGGATGTCGTAATAATACGCTTACGTAAATTAATTCCTATTTTACAACTTTATTTAATATAAATATTTATTTCAAATAAATAATGTACCATAAATCTTTAATTAATTGTTTTAACAATTGATATTTGTCAATTAAATTTCTTCCAAATTCATCAGATTTGGTTAAAATGTCTTTGTTTGGTTCATTTTTTATCATTTCTTTGTATTTTTCTAATTGTATTGATAAATAAGCAAGTTTAACTGGTGGTCTAAAGTTGTTAAAATTGTCACTATGCAATAATTTAATTTTTACTTCATCATTTAAGTCTCCTTCTTCCAGTGAAGGAATTACTCCATCTGCAATTGATTTTTCAACATTAACATATTTATTAAAATCATTCTCTTTAAAATCAACATCTTCTAAATCAACATTTTGCAAAAATAATTGTTTTAAAACTGGGTAATTCTCAGCATCTTTAACTTTAATTAAATTCTCTGGTTTAACCTCAAACACTTTTTGATTTTCAACCACTTTTTTAGGCAAACGAATAAATTCTTTTAAAACTTTAAATCTGGATAAATCATCTTTTTTGATTTCCTCATCATCAATTTCCATTTTCTCTAATTCTCTCGGTATTCTCTCAACCTCAGCTTCTTCCACAGTTTCTTTCTTTTCATCATTCTTTTCCTCAACATCTTTAGCTTTTACTGCAATATCCTTAATATTTAATTCAGCCCTTTCAAATTTCTCCAAAACTGTATTATAAGACTCTTTAAATCTTAATTCCATATATTCCTCGTTCGTTTTCGTTTTCTCAACCGTTGTAATTGGGATCGATTTCCATTTTAATTGAAGCACTTTAGCTGTTTTTGTAAAATATTTTAAATGCAACGGTGATTGTCGCTCAAAAATGTTTTCGCTCGCTTCGTAATCTTGATTCTCAACAAAAAATACCTTAGTACCCAAATAATCTTCGTATTTCCCCTCGAAAACGTAATTTCCAATTTGTACCATCGGCTTTTCATCCAAATTGATCATTTTAAAAAAGATTTTATTATTTTGGAAGTAATTTACGTCCAATTTACCATTTAAATCTAAGTAAATGTACGTTTCTTGATCTGGCATCGTTTATTTATCTTTAAATTAGATTATTAAGATTTACATTGGAATTATAAGTTGAGGTTATGTTAATATTTTGCCTAAAATAAAATTATTATATTTCTTTTTATTAATTGCTAAAAGATGTTATTATTGATCCTTTTTGAATTTTTGATTAAGTGATTTAGTTAAAAGCAATAAATAAATGTTTAAATTATAATTAGATCATTTGCGAATGCGACATAACCTAAAAAATTCTTAAAATAACCTATATTTATAATATTTCTTTTTATTAATTGCTAAAAGATGTTATTATTGATCATTTTTGAGTTTTTGATTACAAGATTTAATTAAAATCAATAAATAAATGTTTAAATTAAAATTAGATCATTTACAAATGCGATATAACCTAAAAAATTCTTAATATAACATATATTTATAATATTTCTTTTTATTAATTGCTAAAAGATGTTATTATTGATCATTTTTGATTACAAGATTTAATTAAAATCAATAAATAAATGTTTAAATTAATACTAGATCATTTGCGATTGCGACATAACCTAAAAAATTCGTAAAATAACCTATATTTATAATATTACTTTTTATTAATTGTTAAAAGTTGTTATTATTGATTCATTTTGAATTTTTGATTACAAGATATAATTAAAATCAATAAATAAATGTTTAAATTAAAATTAGATCATTTATGAATGCGACATAACCTAAAAAATTTTTAAGATAACCTCCAAATAAAAATCATGATTCGACACACAATTTTATTTAAAAATGTATTACAAACGAAAGCGCCGTTACGTTTGATTCGTTTAAGTTCTAATACAGTTAATATCGAGGATTTAGAGAAAGAAACTGCTCTTTCCCCTGGTAAGAAATTCAATAAAAATATATTGAAGTAACTTGATGAACAAATTTTTAGTTCTTGATGAGGAAGTAGCACAGCGTGAAGCTGAGCTTGAGAGAAAACGTGATAAATCTCGATTAAATCCGGCCCATAGAAACATGTTACATGATCGTAAACCCTACAATGAAGAAGTACATTGGTCTCATAACACCTTAAATTACCATAGAAAAATGTATGGAAGATATGGAGCTTCCAGTGGAGTTAACCCCGCTTATTGTTGGCCTATAAAATCCGAGTTAATCGATACAAAAGAATATGAAAGGGTAAAATATCCGATGAGTTTAAAAGAAATGATTGAAACAAGTAAAAAACTACGTGTTGAAAAAGAAGAAAAGATTCTTAAGAGACAAAAAGAAATTTCAACAAAAATGCTTAAATTAGACGGATGGATAAAAGATTTACAGATAAAGGTGGCTAAAAGAGAAAGTGAGGCGAAAGCTGCTAAAGAAAGGAAAGATAAATTAATTGAGGAGGTTCGGAGACACTTTGGGTACACGGTTGATCCAAGAGATGAGCGTTTTAAGGAAATGTTAGTAAAGAAAGAGAAAGAGCAAAAGAAGCAGATGAAAGAAGCAAAGAAAAAGGTTAAAGAGGCGAAATACGTGGAGAGATTAATTGTTGGTGAAAAAGAAAAACTTGATACAAAAACAGGAGTTGATGAAAAATAGTTTAAATAATAAAAATTTATTTTAAATAATCCTACAAAAAAATATTGACTAATTTCAAATAATGTCTTTTTAATTAACGTCCTCCACCGCCACCTCCACCATTCCCTGCTTCCGGATTATTTGCAGAAGAAATTAACATGATGATAATTACAGGAACGATATACATCCACTAAAATAAATAAGTATTAATATAATGATTACTTTCAATTTAAATCTTACGTATTTTGAAATGAAAGATCGTCCATCTTTAACTTCCCCTTTCTCTTTGGCTTCACGTTCGCGTTCTAATTTTTCAATATAACTTGCAGTATCTGGCCTAAAAATAATTATGAATATCACACATTATTTAGACCGCGTTATGCATCACTTGACTAAGCGACTAATGAATAATGTTGAGAAAAAGAGATTTTCGTTTTCATCTCTCTAAAAAGAGAAGAAGATTGAAGATGTTTCTTAATATTTCTTTTTGTTTTGTTAAAAAGTTCATCAAAAAAGAATCATCATGTGGCTTAAAAATCGACGTTTTTTTTTAATCAATGTGAAATGATAAAAATAATTACTTTCTGTTTATAAAAATAAACAGAAAGTGATAAACAGAAGTTATAAAACTTCTATTATATGATAACTAGGGCTGGGATTTTATGTAAAATGCATCTTGTTTATTTTCTGAAATATTTTTTTCAAAATTGGGCTGTTGAGTTTAAGTTTAAGGAAATCCCTAACCATAGTTACTGTGGCTGTGTTCAGTGTGAGTGAACATTAATCTACCAATTTGTAACAACATTGCCTAAACTGAAATCGCGTCTTGTATCCCAGTGGATAAAAACTTATCCCGAACTAAATTTAAATAATGAGGAATTATTTTATAAAGCTTGTGCCAAAGTAGTATTTTTTTTGAAAATTATGTCGTAACGTTTTACCCAAAGATTTAAGTTAAAAATTAGAGTTTTCAGCGAAGTTGCCAATGGTTTGATGACAACGAAATTGTATTTCTCATAGACTTTTACACTAGGAGTTAAAAAAAACTATATTAAATTTGATGTCCCATTTTCTTGGGATATGTTTTTACATATGATCAACAATAAAAAATAGGTACGAATCTGTTTTATAGTCTCAGATTTAGATTTTTACTCTGTTAGAGTATCTATGACTAATTTTTTTAATTATTCTTTTTTAACATAACGTGTGAGAGAAAGTCCTAAATAGAACAACAAGTGAAAATTGCAAAACATATACAAAAATGTGATAGAAATAGATTGATAACAACTATAAGAAAGGTATATTTTTGCATATTTATACATATTTCGGAAAAAGCTTGCATATTTCCTATAATTTGACTGCATAAAAATCTTAGCTCTATTGATAACTAACTTCAGGTTTAAAATGTCAACCTCAATTATGATATATTTGTAATCTTCATTAAAAATCCTTTAAAATGAGTACAAACACGACATATTTATCTTCAATATTAATGAAGTTATGGTCAACTTCCGGTTAAGAATGTCAACCTCAATTTTGACATATTTGTAATCTTCATTAAAAATCTTTTAAAATATAAGCAATTTCCGGTTTGAAACGTCAATGTCATTTTGACATATTCTTAATTTATATAAAATGTCTTAATATTTGTCACAAATACAAAAATATGTATAATAAAAAAAATAAAAAATTAAGGTTGGTATTAATATTTAAAAAATTAAATTGCTATCTTCATTGTTGCTAACTTCGGGTTTAATGTTTTTTATTCTAACTTTTTTGTTTTTTGAGATAAGTGCGTCTTGTTTGGACTCATTTTAAAGGTTTTTTTAATAAAGAATACATCATAAAAGAACACAATGAAGTTGTCCATTTGTCTATTATATGATAACTAACTTCCGGTTAAGAATGTCAACGTCAATTTTGACATATTTGTAATCGTCGTGATAAATCCTTTAAAATGAGTCGAAACATGATACCTTTAATTCCAATATTACTCGAGATATAAGCAGCAGGTTTGAAATGTCAATGTCATTTTGACATATTCTTAATTATTATGAAATGTCTCAATATTTGTCACAAAAACAAAAATATAAAATAAAAAATAAAAAATTAAGGTTGGTATTAATATTTAAAAGTTAAATTGCTATGTTCATTGTTGTTAACTTAGAGTTTAATGTTCTTTAATCTAACATTTTTGTTTTTTGAGATAAGTGCGTCTTGTTTGGTCTTATTTTAAAGGTTTTGTTAATAAAGAATACATCATGAAAGAACACACTGAAGTTGTCCATTTGTCTATTATATGATAACTAACTTCAGGTTTAAAATGTTAACCTCAATTTTGACAAATTTGTAATCTTCATGAAAAATCCTTTAAAATGGGTACAAACACGACATATTAATGAAGTTATGGTCAACTTCAGGTTTAAAATGTCGACGTTAATTTTGACATATTTGTAATCTTCATTAAAAATCCTTTAAAATATGTCAAAATTAACGTTAATATTACAGTTAAATAATGTCGAGTTTCGACTCATTTTAAAGGATTTTTTATGAAGTTGATAAATATGTCAAAATTAAAAGTTGAAAGTTCGAACTTTTAGGTTTTTTGAGATAAATGCGTCAAGTTTGGACTCATTTTAAAGATTATTTTATGAAGGTTACGAATATAATAATAAAATTAAAATTAAAACTTTCTTACAAAGGTCCTGGTTCAGAATGACGAATGTGAACTGATGTAACAAATTGTTTTAAGTAATCTAAAGGAACTTGAGCTCCTTCACAAGCTGAAGTAGATGCAACAGCCATAGAAACAGTAATAACTTTTCCTGAGTAATCCAATGATATTGATAATAAATCGGTGAGTTCTGATTCAGCTAACATACACTACAAAAAGGAATTATAAATTTCTTCATTAAAAGAAAAATTAATTAATATACAGCCTTAACATATGATTTATAAACTTCCACAGATCCATCATTCGTTGTTACAATTGCTTTCAAAACATAAAATTTATTATTAATAGCTAATTCCCGTAATTTAAATTTTTCGTCTGCACTCAATGGGGATTGAATCATTGTATAAGCAGCTGATCTTAAACTCTGCACGGAAATATTACCCCTTTCTGTAAAAATGGGATTTTCTGTACCATCTAACGAATGCTGTAGGCGAATATTCAGCATTCCATCATAATCAATTTGGGACTAATTAACAAAAATAATAAATTAGCTTTAATAAATGGATGTAAAATTGATTTACTTACGGCTATAGCATATTTATAAAGGAGAATAATCACCAATAGAGGCAATTTCCACATTTTTTAATTAATCAATAAATTTTTTGATTAATCAGGATTGAGGTTATGTTATCTAGGGATGTTTTTTTAGTTACCAAAATTAAGTTACCGACATTGTCTGTCATATCTCATAACACGTGGTAACCTAAAAATTCGGTTAAAATATTTTTTAATTTAAATAAAACGAATAAAAATGCAGCACGACGATGTAAGTTATTAAAAACAATTAATTTTATTAATTAATCAATTAATTTATAATATAGGTTGTTTGGAGTATCATCAACAAAACATTTTGTTCACATAAAGTAAAGTAAGTTTTTTCTTTATGTTAATATATTTATTTAATCCTTACATTATTATAGCACAAAAACCCAACGTTTTTGCCGAAATGAATATAACCTAACTGGTATGTGTAACAGATCATCATGTCCTTTAGCAAACAGTCAATATGCAACGGTACGAGAAGAAAATGGAATTATTTATCTTTACATGAAAACAGCGGAAAGATCTGCTTTTCCAAAAAAGCTTTGGGAAAAAGTGAAATTATCGCGTAACTTTGAAAAAGCGATCCATCAAATTAACGAAAATCTTTTATACTGGCCAGGTTTTATCAAATCGAAGTGCAAACAGAGATTTGTTAAAATAACTCAATACTTAATCCGAATGCGTAAATTAAAACTTCGCCGCCAAAAACTTTTAGTTCCAATACAAAGAAAAATCGAGCGAAGAGAACGAAGAAGGGAAGATAAAGCTTTGGTCGCAGCCCGTATTGAAAAGGGTGTCGAAAAAGCACTTTTAGAACGGTTACAAAAAGGTGTTTACGAAGATTTATATAATATTCCTCAAACCGCATTTGATAGTGCTTTACGCGAAGATGAAGTTGAATCAGAAGAGGAAGTCGAACGAGAAGAGGAGTTCGAAGTTGAAAATGATGGGCCACAATTTGTTGCTGCCGATTCGGATTCAGAAGAAAGCGATAGCGGAAAACCTGAATTAACAGATTTAGATAGTAATTTTGAAACTGATGATTCAGATATAGAGGATATTCAAGGGCCTAGTTCGTCTAAAAGTAAAAAAGATGGGAAAGGTGGTAAATTTACAAAGAAAGGTGGAAAAAGTAAATCAAGAATTGAAATTTCTTATGAAATGGAACACGAAAATGTTCAAACCGGTAGAGTTAGTTAATTTTTTTATACAAGTATATTTTGATGCAATTAATTTTGAGTTTTATTTAACTTTATAAGTTAATAAAGAAAGTTTCGTTTTAATACCGCCACTTTTTGATAGATGGTGTTGTTTAGTTGAAAATTTTTTTTGGATTCTCATATTATAATATGAAATTTTCCAATTTTATTTAATTTTAACTAATTTAAATGATAATATTTTCGTGTTAAAATTAAGTTAATTAATTCTTTTTAATTAAAATTAATTTTATTTAACTCCTATTACTTCAAATAGATGGCGCTGTCACTTAAAAAAGTCTACTTTATCGACTAAAATTTTTGTTTGTATCGTTCGTTTTTGGCTGCGTGTGGTAATTTGAATCTTATTTTCCGTGTTTTCGTTAAGTTTTCCGGGATTAATTGATTGAAACTCGTTAAATGGTAAGATTAAGTACTTTTTAATCATTATAAATAAGGCGTTCTTAATAAATTAATTCGATTCGTTTCAAATAATAACTTGCATTCGCGTAAGGTTACCAAGTGCATTTACAACAAATTTTAACGTTTCAATGAAATTTTGTCTTAAAAGTTAAGTTAAGTTGTTATAAACGATTAATCTTGATCGAAATTTGATTGTTAACACAGTTTCTTAAAATATTTGTTGTTAAATTTTGTTTTGTTACGTCACAGTCTAAGCACCCTATGATATAAGAGATGTATTAAAAGAAAGAGGTTAGGTTGTGAGTTTTTTGCATAAATGTCAATGTCAAAGATAAAAATAAAATTTTTTTAAATTTTTTTTGAATAAACAATTAGAAATGATTCACACCTCGCAAAAGCAAATTGTTATGTTTTTGTAAAATATTTAAATTATTCGTAGTACTAAGTAACATTGCACAACTTACTTAATCAAAGAGATCATTTAAAGTTAAAAATACGAACTCGATGCGAGAAAAACTCTCTCCAAAGTGATCCATCTCATTAATAACTTTAAGAAAGGTGAGATCTTGTCTCGCGAGTATGACGTAAACCGCTGTGATCATTCCGCCGTAATAAAGGCGTGCATTTTTTTGCTTTCGAATCAAGGCCGGAGTCCTACCGAACACCGTGTGTGAGAATTGAACGAGTGTACACAGTTTTAAACCATCAAGGGAGATAAACAACCGAGAACAGTCTTTAATTGTTTCCCTATTATTGTTATAAATTGGGATAGATAACGAGATAAGATGCGGCTGTTTGGATTTTGGAGAAACCGTGGACGATATAAGTATGTATTTTAAGATTAAAATTAGATTAGAATTACATATTATTTATTTAAGTAGATTTGAATAATTAGAATTTGAAGTTTTTCGCGCCAAAAATTTTTTTTATTGGTGGTTGACACCACGTGAGTTTGTTTATTTTTGGAAACCCTCGTATAGTGTGTGTGTGTTGTGTATAATTCGTAGGTCGTCGTTTCAGTTGGGTTTTGAACGTCTTTAAATCCATGCACTCAGTGTTAATTTAGAAAATGTTATTTTAATTTTTTAACGTTTAAAAAAATGTGATTTCAAAATGCACCAACAATCCTCTTATTGTTTGCTAAATCATGAAAAGTATGTATTAAATTAATTTTTTTCCCAAACACGCTACAATAATACAAAAATAATAATATATTGTTACGAATAATTTGAGGTTTTATGTACTCACTTGCGCATAATGTTTTTTTTAATCGTTTCACGATAAAACAACCTTGTGATTAATGATCCATTAAAAAAAAAAACGATTTTTTCTTTTTTGTTATAGGATTGGAGACAACACATTAACTCAACCTCAAAAGGGAGAAGCTGTTTTAGCCTTAGAAACTCATCCTCCACCTGTTCGATTAACTCGTCATCGCAAATTCGACACAATCCGCAGGTAAATAATACTTATTCAACACATAAATCAAATTTCTTTTTTTTAATAAAATCTTATTCATATGATTATCTTTCATGGTCATCTTCGAAGGTTTTTGCGTTTAAAAATCCTTTATTCTATGCTAAATAAGGATTCCTTAACAAGATTAAGTTTATTTTTAATCCTGTTTAAACTCGAATAGAGTTAGTTTTATGGTTAGTGTAGGAAGTGTCTCGGTTCGGGTTGGTTTGAATTTAGAATTTTTTATATTAAGTGTTTTTAAATGGCCGAGGAGAACGAAGGAAACGAAAAAAACGAAGATAACGTTGAAAACGACGTCGAAGAGGGCGATGATGATGAGGACGAGAATGAAAAGTACGCGTTGTGTTCAAAATCGGATCGAAACTACTCGAAAAATCGCGCGAACGGTGTCGATTAATTTGGGTCAATTGGGTTCGTTCGAGTGGGGTCCCTGCCGTTTCCAATTAACGCCGCTTTTAAATTTTCACCCACATGGTGCTCTTTGTGAGCAGAGAGATTTTTTTTTCTAGAAATTGAATTTCCGAAAATTATGTAATTTACGGGTAATTTTTCAAGTACTTTTGATTTGTTTTTAGTTTCTCTTTTTGTTGCGACGTTTGGGGTTATTTTTCTTATAGCTTGCTTAAGTTGGCTAAGGTTGGTAGACAGGTTAAATTCGATGTACCAAAACCGCCACAACGAAAACCACCCCCAAAGTGAGTTAAAAAAAAAATTTATCGCAAATTATTTAAACAAATAAGTTTACAAATATGTATCAGTAATTTTTTGAACACGAGAAGATAAAAATGTCGGTTTTCGATCACTCAGTCTATCTAATCTTTTATAAATTACCGGAAATACCTAGAAATGTCTAAAAAGCGTTAAAAATCTTTATGTCATCCATGAAAATCGTTAGTTATACTTGAAATCCCTATATTTTTTTTATTAATTACTGGAAATGTCTAAGAATGCCTAAGAAGCGTTCAAATTCCTTGAATATCTTTAGAAAACATTATGTTATCTATGAAAATCGTTAGTTATACGTATAAATTCATTTGAAATCCTTTTAAATTCTATATAAATTACTGGAAATGCCTAAAAATTCCTAAGAATCGTTCAGAATCCTTAAATATCTTTAGAAAACTTGATTTCATCCATGAAAATCGTTAGTTATACTTGAAATCCTCTTGAAATCCCTATAAATTCTATACAGGGTGATCCTCAACTTATACGCATACACTTGGGGACTTACTCCTCACGACGAATAATGACTAAAAGGCGAAAAAATTTGTAGTAAAAGATTTTCTGTTTCATAGATATTTATCGCAGCAAGTGTTCGAAGTTATCTCCCATATTTTCTATGAATTGGCCTCCCGGAATCCACGATCTCCCATCAGTGCGATCTAAACAAGGGTTTGGCGAATTATCTGGGCAGCAGCATGCATCTGATTTTGCAATATCTGCTCAGTATTAATTTCCGTGACGTACACTATGCTTTTTAAGTAACTCGAAAAGTAAAAAATCAGGAGGATTGAGGCTGGGCGATCACGGTGATGAGGACCATCTCGACCTCGATATTCATCTTCCAGGAAACACATTATCTAGATGTCGCCGATTATATCAGATATCTAGGAAACTAAAAAACTTAGTCATTATTTGTCATGAGGAATAAATCCTCTAAGTTTGTGCGTAGAGGTTGAGAATCACCCTGTATACATTACTGGGTATGCCTAAAAATTCCTAAGAATCGTTCGGAATTCTTAAATATCTTTAGAAAAGTTTGTCATCTATGAAAATTGTTAGTTGAATACCTGAAATCCCTATAAATTTGTTATAAATTACTGGAAATGTCTAAAAATGCCTAAAAAGCGTTCAAAATCCTTGAATATCTTTAGAAAATTATGTTATCCATGAAAATCGTTAGTTATACTTATAAATTCATTTGAAATCTCTATAAATTCTATATAAATTACTGGAAATGCCTAAAATTCCTAAGAGTCGTTCGGAATCCTTAAATATCTTTAGAAAACATTATGTTATCCATGAAAATCGTTAGTTATACTTATAAATTCATTTGAAATCTCTATAAATTCTATATAAATTACTGGAAATGCCTAAAATTCCTAAGAGTCGTTCGGAATCCTTAAATATCTTTAGAAAACTTTATGTCATCCATGAAAATTCATAGTTATACTTGAAATCCAGTTGAAATCTCTATAAATTTTTTATAATTTACTGGAAATATCTAAAAATGCCTAAAAAGCGTTGAAAATCCTTGAATATCCCTAGAAAACATTATGTTATCCATGAAAATCATTAGTTATACTTATAAATTCATTTGAAATCTCTATAAATTCTATATAAATTACTGGAAATGCCTAAAAATTCCTAAGAATCGTTCGGAATGCTTAATAATATACAGGGTGTCTCACGTAACTGGTTCGTTAGAACTTTTTTAGGTTCCACTATTCGTAGAGTTTTGAAATTTTGGTAGAATGGGTTGTTCATTCTAAACTTTCAATCTAAAATATTTTCAAGATGGCCACCACTTCCGGTCTACCGGAAGTAGACCATAACTTCGCTATTTTAAATGGAATGCTATAGTTTTTACTACACACTTTAATTGTACGTAAAAAAATAGGTTGACTTTCATATAAGTTATTGGTACCTAGCGTTTTTTGTTTTCGAGTTATTTTGGTTTTAAACTTTTTTTGGTAAATTTCAACATGCTCTTTAAAACTCCATATCTCAGCCACAGTTCATTCAAAAAAGATCTACTTTGGCACGATTACTCTTCAGATGTTGTCAAATAGATTGCCATTTGTTGTATCGGAGTATCTTATACAGGATGGTCAAAAATTGAATTACTGTTTCTCCATATTAAAATCAAAATAACTCCAAAACGAAAAACGCTAGGTACCAATAACTTTTATGAAAGTCAACATATTTTTTTACGTACAATTAAAAGGTGCAATAATAACTATAGCATTCCATTTAAAATAACGAAGTTATGGTCTACTTCCGGTAGACCGGAAGTGGCAGCCATCTTGAAAATATTTTAGATCGAAAATTGCGACTGAACAACCCATACTACCAAAATTTCAAAACTGTACGAATACTGGAACCTAAAAAAGTTCTAACGAACCAGTTACGTGAGATACCCTGTATAATAAATATATTTAGAAAACTTTATGTCATCCATGAAAATCATTAGTTATACTTGAAATCCACTTGAAATCCCTATAAATTTGTATAAATTACTGGAAATGTCTACAAATGCTTAAAAAGCGTTCAAAATCCTTGAATATCTTTGGAATACATTAAGTTATCCATGAAAATCGTTAGTTATAAATTCATTTGAAATTCCCTATAAATTCTATATAAATTACTGGAAATGCCTAAAAATTCTTAAGAATCGTTCGGAATTCTTAAATATCTTTCGAAAATTTTATGTCATCCATGAAAATCATTAGTTATACTTAAAATCCCTATAAATTTTTTATAAATTACTGGAAATGTCTAAAAATGCCTAAATAGCGTTCAAAATGCTAGAATATCTTTGGAAAACATTATGTTATTCATAAAAATCGTTAGTTATACTTATAAATTCATTTGAAATCGCTATAAATTCTATATAAATTACTGAATATTCCTAAAAATGCCTAAGAAGAACTTTGTGCTTCTTTTTTGTAATCGATATCAGACAAGGATTTAAAAATTTTATAGACATTAACTATAAATAAATGGCATATTTCAATTATTTAATGTAATCATAATAAAAACTTAAATTTCATACTTTCATAGCGTTAATAATACCTTTGAATTGATTGATTACCTTTATTAGAGATCCTTCATTGAAATTGAATTCTACCGTACCCAAAGTACTCATCAATCTATGTTTTGAAGGATAATGACTTGGAGTGGTGTTCGGATACCGGTAAAGCGTGTTGCATCATTTCGACCCAGTTCATCAAAGTAGATCACTTCGTTCCCACAAGCGAACTTGGATGCGGCACAATGGTAGAACATCGATATCTTGCTCCCGAAAAATAAGCTATTGCCTGCAATAAATTACTGGGTAGATACAGCTAATGGAAGACTGAATACTGTTTACATAATCTATCTACTGTTTGCATAACACCAGATATTGCTGGTACGAGACTAAATACTGCTTGCCAATAACTAGATACTGCTGGCATAAGACCAGATACAACCTAATTGAATACCAGATACTGCTTGTAGAACTAGATATTCCTTGCAAAAGATTATATACTGCTGCCATAGGGCTACATACTACTAATGGGAAATTAAATACTGCTAATTACAAACTATAAACAGCGATTACACAAAATTCAATAATTTATTTTCATTTAAAGTTGCAGTTGATGTGACAATTCACATTTAAATGTTAGCTAACTACTACCGGTGACGTGATTTTATTAAAATTTGATATCTATTAGTTTTTTTTTTAAAGTAAAGCGCCATCTTCGGTTGACCAATTGAGGTCAAAACATGATACAGATATCCGATAGTGATCTAGTAGCTATACAAAGTTAATTTTTCTAATCTGATGTTGATGGCAGAAGATACTACTAATAGAAGACTAGTTATTGTTTGCAAAACACTACTTATTGTTTGTTAAAGCTAAATACTGCTTGTTGAAGATTAGATAATGTTTGTAGATGACTATATACTACTGGTAGAAGATTCGATATTGCTGACATTGGACTAGATACTGCTAATAGAAGACTACTTACTGTTTTCAAAGACTAGGTACTGCATGTAAAAGACTAAATACTACTGGCAGAAGATTAGGTACTTCCGGCGGAGATCAGATATTGCTTGCAGAAAACTACATACTATTCGCAAAGACTAGATAGTGATTCAAAAAGATTTTAAAACATATTGTTGCTTGTTGACAACACAATATGTTTACATATTGGATGTGGTTAAAACTTAATGGTTGTGATTTTCACACTATTTTTCTATTAAAATATCTT